GTGTGTGTGTGTGTGTCTTACCAATGCAGATCTGCTGGGTGTCAAAGGTTTTGCAGCTGTTGTTTGAAGGCCGGGTGTAATCGGAAATGGACGGATCTGTGGCACTGGAGCCGGTGCCGTATAAGATGAGGGTGAACTGTGAAAGAACGCCTGTGGAAACGACACTGAACTTTAAAGATGCTTTGATGATCAGCAAAAACACAAATGGCATTCACATCCTTAAATGACTAAACATCCTTAAAACAAGATAAATACATTTGAGAAGCAATTTATGTAAGATATTTAGACTAGAATATATCTTGAATTAAGTTTACTTTTTCTAATCCCACTGGCAAATTGTTTCTTTTCTTGCTTCAAGCATAAATCAAACACAATTTAGAGAGATTTATTCTCAAAACAAGAAAAAACAATTTGCCAGTGGGATAAGAAAAATAAACTTGATTCAAGATTTATTCTCTGAAATGTCTTTTATCTTCTTCCCAACCATTTCCCTTTTTTCAAGTAAATTTATCTTGTTTTAAAGGATGCTTAGATGTTTGCACTGAAAATCTAGACAAAACACTGATTAAGGAAAAGCTTATTGCAGTACCATAATCATTAAGTCCAGCCACATTCTCAATCTTCAGCGTCCATTCTCCCCGAGGGTCCTCGTCCCAGGAGTGTGTGGTCATGAATGCCCAGTCGTTGAACCCTTCGGCTGAGTTATCCTGAGGCCTAAAGACAAACACAAGAGAAAGATATCTCTATACATGTCCGTCTATCTGAGAAGCTTAAACAAGATTGAATACGATGATACAATTAATTGAGTTGAATTTACAATCCAAATAATTATGTTTTATAACAATAATGGGGTGAATTGTGTTTGTATGTGGCCAGACAAGTGCATAATTGTGTTTTCTTGGACATCAGATGTATGTTCTGAGAGCTGATTTCATTTAGAGTCTGTACATGCTGGTGTGCATCGATTATACACTTCCGTTCAAAAGTTTGGGGTCAATAAGATTGATAAAAAAATACCGTGGAGCCAGCAGTGTGGAGCGAGTTCCCAGTGGGCTGATGAGGTGAACAGCCAGGTTTCCTCTGTGGTTATAGGAGAGGGTGAGTTTGGCTTGCACATGCTCCAAAGAGCTCACAAAGTCCAGCTGCCCAGAGCAGGCCTCTACACTTCTGCTGAAGACTAGGTGGTTTCTTATGTCCCTACAACAGAGAAGAATCTAAAATTACACTCAGCAACTAAATGATGAAACGTAATTTTGCTGTCAACTTCATGTGTCTCATTGCCTGTCCATAAATGGTGACCTCTGGCTCCTCAGATAACAGGCATTAGCTATCTGGTGTATTGATGTATCGCCAGTGCAGCATGAGGTGTTTGACCGTCCTTACCTGGGCTCGGTCAGCATATTAATGACACATTTGTGCTGCAGCCCCACGCTGCTCCAGTTCCGGGCCAAAGCGACCATGGCACTAGCATCCAACAGACCATAGCCGTAAGAATGGCTCACTGCCACATTGAGAGAGACAGATGGAAGACTAACAAGGTCAGACATGTCTACTGATTTATAAATAAATGTAGCTCTCTGGTTACGTGAACCATAATTTACCTAATCGCCCCACGCCATTAGTCCTCCAGTCGTTAGTTATTAGGTGGGCGGGACGTGAGGTTCTTACGACGAGATGCAGCATGTCTCTCCAGGTTAGGTTCATGCTGGTTGTCATACGAAAAATGAAAAGTGATAAGAGTATTACATTGCAGCAGGGCCACAGATTTATTTTCATATTCAAATGATAATTTGCACATAATTATCCTCTTGGATGTGACAGGATGTCTTTTTGAAAGACACATAATTAAAGCTTTTCTTTCACCCGAGTCACAGAAAATTGCAAATGGAAATATTCCGTCCTGGGGGCCATGCATCATTTTGTAATTACACAGCCGACGAGGTCTTTTTTTTTTTTTTTTT